CATTTAGTTTCCACAAGCATCTTACTTGGATTCAAACACTGTCATGTGTTGATAATTCATTGGAAATGTTTTATAATCAACATCAATCTAAACAAAGTAGGTCACGTTAAAATGTTTTTTAGTCCAGCAACGTTCTGATCGAGTAAATTTCAGACTTCTTAATCCAGCTGTACATCTTCCAAAATATACCTTAAAAGGAGTGCATCGCTTTTCACTTCATTTGTTTCCTGATTTGCTTCTTCATTTCTATTTCACAATCATAATTGTTGCATGTGATATAATATCTTATCACCTCATCCAAATGTTTTAAACCATTTCATAGGATTTACTAGAAAGTGTAGTGACTGTGTATTTGTAGGTGTAGGTGTATATCAATGTAAGTTGTTGTTGTTATAAACTCTCCTGCATCAAGGCTGCGCTGAGCAGCCTCACCGTGCTTGCTGGCCTTCACAGTAGACAGGGATATCGACTTTGACTCAGATTGTTTGATTTTGCTGTCTCCTGCTCGCAGGATTCAAACAATCACAGTGCCTGTCGGCACCAGCCTTTACTCACAGTGCAAACATGCCGGTAAATGTCAGTACCTATTGTAAGTAGGCTTAAATGGAAATTTCGGCTTGCTGGACTGGCGATCCCCTCCATTAGTCTGGCTAGCCGGGGTTTAAGTGAACTATGCTTCTTGGAATCTGTATCTATCCTCCTTGGAGGGGGAGGTAAATGAGATCTCCTTGGATCTGAACTCAGCTGGTGATGGAATATTGGAATCAAGTAGATCCTCTGGGATGTTCTTAGTGGGTAGTTTCTGAGCCAGGCTGGTCCACAATATTGCAACGCAATCTTGATGACAGACCCACCAGGATGGCTCATCAGCAGGACTTGGAGCAGCAGACCAGTTGCTGGGGAAGCCAGCTTTTGAAGATGAATGTACCTTTTAAACTCCATTCAGATGCTAATCTCCCTTTTGCCTTCCAGTTGCAGCATCAGAATGAGAACTGTGTCCAATCAGAGTTGCATATTCGCTAATTACAAATTGTTTTGTGAATTTTCACGATTTAACAACCATTGTAACAGTAGACCACCATTTCCACTGCTATTATTTCTTAAACTACTTTCTTTTTTTATTGATGAGTGAAGTTAGGCCTGTTCACCCCCATTAACCGAATTGAACCGAATATGTTCTACTAGGGAATGCCAGTTGTTTCCACAGACAAGCCCCAATCCCCCCCAAACTCTTCTAGACCCAAATTGTCAAAGGACAATGTTGCCAAGAGCTCAATCCTTCCTATAATCTACTTACTTATGGGTGAGATTTGTTGTATTAGCCCCTCACAAACAAACCTCAACAGTAGAACTTTTCTGGCAGGTGCTAGCGCAAGGAATAACTGATGAGAACAGAAACTACATTGATCTTAGCCAAAAAGTCCAAGAAATTAAGTTTAATTTCTTAAACTCCTCTCATTGAACTGCATGGTTTGGAATACTTTTCATTTGACTTTCAAAGCTGGTTTCTAAAGCAGCCCAGTTGGATGGATGAGATTCTCCTCTCTCTTATGTCTTCGCTTTAATTACTTTGGACAGGCGCAACCTCGTTCTTAAAAGGTGCAAGCCCATTTTAACTGAAGCCTGGATTTGCTTTGGCCCTGCTGACAGTGAGTGGTGTGGCTGTGGATGATGGCTGTTTTTCACATCAGTATCTGTATGAAGCACTGTCAGATTCAATACAAGATGAATTAGACACAGGGCAAAGTGGCCTTCAGGTTTCTGTGAATTACCTTCTTGTACATTATGCAGTAACCTCCCTTAGAGAAGGAGACAGGGGGAATGAAAGTTCACCTAACCTTACCCCATGAGGTCATTTCATCTTAAAATTTAAGATCAGATACATTTGTGAAAGATTATACAATTAATTTAGAAGCCAATTTTCCACAGTTCTTAAAAAGAACCAACTTTCTCTCATTCAGCAGATGGGAAACTGCCCCTGTGTTTCGTGGACTGAGGTGACAAAAAAAAAGTTGTCAGGGCTAAATCTCAAGCCTTAGATACTTAGGAACATAAAAAAAAGGAATAAAAAGAAAAATCACTGAATACTGGAGAGGTGCCGGGGGACTGGAGAAAGGCAGATGTTACTCCTATTTTTAAAGTAATTTTTTGGGTCACTTTTAAAAGTGACCCAGAAAACTACAGACCAGTAAGTTTGACGTCCATTGTGGGTAATATTATGGAGTCTTTTGAAGGATAATAATAATAATAATCCTTGCATTTGATATAGCGCTTTTCACGTCAGGAGGACGTCCCAAAGCGCTTCACAGAACACACTGTAAAGTGAATTGACGGTATATTTGTGGGCGAACGCGGCAGCCAATTGCGCACAGCAATGTCCCACAAACAGTCGTAGATTGAAAATGACCAATTTATTATTGTTTTTTGTTTTGGAGGGATTATTATTAGGCGTGTGGAGTAAGGAAACTTGCCCAAGGTTTCGTCCTGCCTGGAATTGAACTCAGGTCTCTCACTTGCAAAGCGAGTGCTCTAACCACTGAGCTACAGGACTCCAAAAAAAAAATCATGGAGCGTCTGGACAGAAATAAAATCATAAATGATAGCCAATATGGGCTCATGAAGGGGAAGTCTTGCCAATCTAATTTACTGATTTTTTTGATGGTGTGACAAGGGAGCTTGAAAAGGGTAAGGCTGTTGATATTGTATAGCTGGATTTCAGTAAGGCCTTTGATACAGTTCCTCTTTGAGAGGTGGTACTGAAAATAAAGAAAGCAGGAATCAGTGGAGGTATTTTACAATGGATACGTGACTGGTTGACCGGAAGAACACAGAGGGTGGTGGTACAGGGAATATCATCAGACTGGGAAAATGTTACCAGTGGAGTTCCACGAGGGGCTGTTTTGGAGCCTCTTTTGTTTTAATATTTTTGTAAATCATCTGGAACTAGGAGTCTCAAGCACAGTGACTAAGTTTGCAGGGGACACCAAGCTAATGAAAATGATAAGATTGCGAAGCTGAACAAGATAGGTTACAGGAGGATTTGAACATACTTGGGTACTGGGCAGATCGGGGGCAGATGAAATTTTATGTGGAAAAATGTACATCACATGGTGACAAAAAATCCTGGAAGGAACTATTATTTGAACGGAATGAAAATAAAATGTATGGAAAATGAAAAGGACCTCGGAATCCTGATTGACAATAAATTGAAACTCTCCCAACAATGCTCTGTGGCAGTGAGTAAAGCAAACCAGGTGTTAGGATGTGACAAATGATCAATAGTAAGCCGAAATAGTGGGGTAATGTTGTCACTGTATATATCATCGGTGAGACCACACTTAAGGAGTACTGTGTACAGTTCAGGTCACCACAGTACAAAAAGAATATTGTAGAAATTGAGAAGATACAGAGGGCAACCAAAATGATTGAGGGAACAGAGGTGCTGGACTAAGAGGAGCGACTAGATAAATTGGGCATGCTCATGCTAGAAAAGAGGAGGTTAAGACGTGACATGATTGCTATCTTTAAGATTCTAAAAGGGCGAGACAATATAGATCATGACAGGCTGTTTCAACTTGTCCAGAATAGTAGAACCAGAGGACATGGCCTGCGATTGAAGGGCGGTAAATTCAGAACAAATTTACGCAAACACTATTTCAGTGAACGAATAGTGAACCTGTGAAACAGGTTCCTTAGGGAGACAGTTGAAGCAGGAAGTGTAGATTCTTTCAATCACAGATTAGTTTTCTTTTAGGAAAAAACATGGATATAGTACATAGGTAGTTTGGGACATATGTGCATGTGACCGCCAGGAAGGTGAAAGGCGAACTAGATGGACCTTGGTTATTTTTCATCTAGCGTTTCTTATATTCTTATGAGTTAACCAATAGCTCTTAAGTATAAGAATCTGTATTGAAGAACGGATCTTCCAAGGTTACGGGCATTGCCGCTAATCTTTTCACAAAGACCTTTACAATGCAAATATGTAGAAAGGTCTATTCAAGAACATTTCAATAAAATCAATAAAGTTATGTAGCCACTGGTGACACGATTCATTGGCATTCTTGCCAAAATGACTAAGGCGAACTAGATAGACGTTGGTCTTTTTTTGTCTAGCATTTACGTTCTTATGTTAAGTGTGGAATGAGGAAAAACAATTCAGCCCATTTAACCACCCTGTGAACATTTGCTTAAGTGGTTGGTTTCGTTGGCTAATTTCACAACTGTTCATGTCAAACCACTGGACCTTTCTGATCATTGGAATTAGAGAACCCTGGAAATATAGAATGCCTGAAGACCTTCCTATTCGACTGTGCCTATGGTCACCTCCCCCAGCTCAGCTTGGCGCTCCATCACTGTCAAGCGCTCTGGGATGCTACCCTGCGTGTGGAGTCCTGTAGCTCAGTGGTTAGAGCACTCGCTTTGCAAGCGAGAGACCTGAGTTCAATTCCAGGCAGAGGGCGAAACCTTGGGCAAGTTTCCTTACTCCACACAGAGCCTAATAATAATCCCTCCAAAACAAAAAACAATAATAAAAATTGGTCATTTTCAATCTACGACTGTTTGTGGGACATTGCCGTGCGCAATTGGCTGCCGCGTTCGCCCACAAATATACAGTCAATTCACTTTACAGTGTGTTCTGTGAAGCTCTTTGGGACGTCCTCCCGACGTGAAAAGCGCTATATCAAATGCAAGGATTATTATTATTATTACTATATAAATGCAACGTTGTTGTTGTTTGAATAGAGCCAAGTCCATCCAAGCAGGCAGATGGAATCTTGCTTTAAAGTCTTATCCTCTGACAATGTGGGGCTCCCCAGCATTGCAACCTAGACTTTCTATGAGCAAAAAGTCCTGATCACTTCCACAGCCAACAAAGCCTTTTTCATAGACTTTGTTGCCATAGTTGTCAGTGTAGCATTACAAGGCAAATCCATTATGTAAAAACTATATTATTAATCCCTGCATTGATATAGTAGATGTATAAAAGAACATGTTTCTCAAGAGAGGCGTAAAGAATTTTATTAAAACACATCATACAAGACTACAAAGCACAGATTTTTAAATTGATATACATAAAGTAATCATGATCCACATAATTGGAGTAGCACTTGTGTAAAAACCTCTTTGTGACTGCCTTATTTATGCCATGGGGCCAGCAATAGAGTTAGCAAATATCCATGCAGTGGCTTCTGTTTAATACTTGGAGACTTCAGGAGCAAATAAGTAGCTATTTGGTTAGTTAAATAAAACAGAACACATCCTTTGAAATATAAAAGTACAGTTTTGAAACAATCCATCCAATAACTATTTTCCAGTACCAAAGAAGACTAGTCTATTTTGCGATTGACAACATAGAAGTCGTGTTGCACAAAGACTATGATGAAAGATTATAATTCTGTTAATCTAGCATGAAATGCATTGTTGCTTTGTTAGTAATTCTTACTACAATGTTACAAAATCACACGCGGAGTACACAAATCTCACACATCTCAAACATTTTTGAGAAATGTCCTCCATTCACAAATCAAGTCAAATCTAAGACATTCTGATTCTCAAATCCCCTGGCAAACCCATACACTATAATCATTTTATAACTTGCCTACCCCATGTTGTCATAAAAACTTTACAAAAGTAGAAGAGAAATGGTACAAAATACATTATGTCTGTTTCAGTTAGTTATGTTGCACCTTTGCCTAACCCTAAAAGAAGTAGCAGAGGGATGTATCACTGTGGGGTCACCGGCCACAGCATCTAAAATCAGCCAGTGTCCTAATTGTCCTTCTCTTTGGGGTCGGTTTTCTTATTACCTGAAATAAAAACAGTCAGCGTTTGAGAAACATAAACAACAACAACAACAAAATTACATTTGAATAGCACCTTTCACGTCAGGAGGACGTCCCAAGGCACAGGACAGACAGAGTTTCGGACCCAACGCCAAGTTCCGGACTGGCTCAGTGAGGTGGAATATGCAACCATGGATGGTGATGCTCCACCCGGCGTGGAGGGCACTATATAAGTTCAAGTTGTTGTTGTTGGTGAATAGAGATGTTAATAATGCAAAACAAACAATTTCCACTCCCCACCCCTTTGCTTTGCATCATTAACGTCTCTTTAACCCATCATGCCCTGTCCTCTACCCCATTTTCTCCATTGTCTTCCATGCCCTGCCTCCCCCCTCTCTGTTAGCCCTTAAAAACCTCTCCATCCCAACCTGCATGAGTTCTGACGAAGAGTTGTGGACCAGAAACGTTGACTCACTTTCCTTTGTCCATAGCTCCTGCCTGACCTGCTGAGTCCCAGCGACATCTGTTTTGTGACAACAAAAGAGTAGCCTGGTAATGCCTCTTCGGCACTCCTTGTTCTTATTGACTAAAGACAAAAATAATTCCTCTTTATCCTCACTCTCCTACCCATCTCAATGCCTCTAAGCGGTCCTTAAACCACTATGATGGAACTGGGTCATAGCTATAATAATAATGCTTGCATTTGATATATCACCTTTTATGTTGAGAGGATATCTCAAGCATTTCACAGGATTCACTATAATGTGTAGTGACTGTGTATTTTTGCATGACTTTTATTTTATATCTGCAAATGAGATACATTTGCAGGGTGGGTTAACTGCCTTTCATCGTTGCACAGGAAATCCACTTTACAATATATCCTGTGATGCGCTTATCTATGTGATAAGGCGCTATATCAAATGGAACAATTATTATCATCCTTAGCAATTTCTGCACCTCACCCTTTAACCACCCTCTGACCTGTCCCTGGTGGTCTTTATTATTATCCACTAAGGTTGATAAATGTACCAATGAGCAGACCACAGTCGCTTATGGGAGCAGCTTGCCTATACTTACACCTCAGAGTGACTGAGAAGTGAACAGACCTTAAAGAGGATTGGTGTCACAATCATGAAACTCTTGTGATTGTAGAGTGAGACTCGGCAACATGCTACTGTGCTATTCAAATGCAATGATAATAATAATCTTTGCATTTGATGTGGCGCTTTTCACATCAGGAGGACATCTCAAAGCATTTTAGAGGTTTTGCAATAAAATAATAATAATAATAATCATAATAATCCTTGCATTTGGTATAGCGCTTTTCACGTCGGGAGGACGTCCCAAAGCGCTTCACAGAACACACTGTAAAGTGAATTCACTGTATATTTGTGGGCGAACGCGGCAGCCAATTGCGCACAGCAATGTCCCACAAACAGTTGTAGATTGAAAATGACCAATTTTTATTATTGTTTTTGGTTTTTTGAGGGATTATTATTAGGCGTGTGGAGTAAGGAAACTTGCCCAAGGTTTCGCCCTGCCTGGAATTGAACTCAGGTCTCTCACTTGCAAAGCGAGTGCTCTAACCACTGAGCTACAGGACTCCATATAAAGTGTAGGGACTGTGTGTTTTGCAGGCAATTACCATTATTTATTATTATTATTTATCAACAGTCACTGGTGGAGATTAGCTGTTGCAATAGCCTGAACAAAACCAATACCAATTCACTTGTATTTTTAATCAGTTTTATTTTGTAAAGCACTTTGAGGTGCCGAATACATGTAAGTACAAGTTGGGTTGTTAACAGTTAACGTGTGATGTTCCGTGACTAGATTTAGCTTTGGAAAGACAATCTGTTGTGGCTGAGATGCTGATAATGCGTGTGTGCTATTTTGCTAAACTGTCATTGTTTTGCAGATCTGAGGTGCCCACCAACATATTAGGTCATTGAATGGTCTCATTGTGAGAATAAAATGTAGGCCTCCACTTCTCACACTCATTAAAAACAGCCAATTCCCACACTGATTAATGTTCACTCTTACAATAAGATGATTAGTCAAACACAATAATGCTTTGCAGTTGTGTTCATTTCTTTTTCATGCTGGCTCAAGTACAGCAGTTTGTGGCTTCATAGCATGTGAATTTTTCAGATAACAAATCTATGGTGAAACATCTTTCTTTCATTTTGAATTTTTCAGTAAGAATGCGTTTGGTGGAGCTCCTTATCATATCAAGAAATGTCAAAGCATTTCAAAAGCTTTCTGTCCAGTGCATTTGTAGGCAAAACATAACATCCAATTTGCACACAGCAATGTCCCACAAACAGCTATGAAGTGAATGATCAATTTCCAGGTCACTGGAGGAAACGCTTTTCATATAGTTTAAAATCCACCCAAACAGGTAGACGAGACTTTGGTTTAACCTCTCAAAGAACGGCACTTTTGACGATGAATATGAGGCTCAGAAATCCCAGATCTGGTTATCAAATCACTGTTTTGAGTTAATTTTCAAAAAATTCAAAAGTCACTCTGACATTGATGTCTGACAGGCAGTCAGGCAGAGCATCAGTGGACCTGAATCCAAGAGTAGAAGCGGAGAAGTAGATTTGGGTGCCAATCGCAAACATAATTACACAGGCAACAATGTCACCACAAGCAAGCATGCAGATGAGGAAAAGGAGGGGCTGAGAATAGAGCTCTGAGGTACTCTGTAGTGACAGTGTGAGGGTGGAGGGGAAACCATTGGAAAGACAAAGTGGTGGTGGTGGTGGGTCAGGTTGGAACCAGAAGAGCGCAGTCCCACAGAGATGGATGAGAGAGAAGGGTGCATTTTCTCCCTCCCCTTCCCCCATCCTCCTTCCCTAATCTTCCTTCCTTCCTCTCTCTTCTTCCTCACCCTCTTTCTTCCCTTCCCTTTCCCCCTTGTGCCTTCTTTCCCTCCTCTACCCATGGCCTACCAATGATGAATCCTGCTTTTGCCATTTCTTCCTTACTCCTGTAGTCACTCCAGGAGTTGTCACTCCTGTGGTGTTCACCATACCTTTAGTCCTGATGGTTTTCTCTATTACTTTGATTGTTTCTTCGGTCTGAACCTCTCCCAGGATGTTGCTGGCATGACACTGATAAACACCTTCATCTTCCTTTGTCAGTGGATTAATCTGTTTCAGGAAGAATTATCAAAAGCAACTGATTTACAGAATTGTACAGAACTGTTATAGGAAAGATGCACAGGTTTCTATGAGTAACAAAATCGCCCCTGTCATTTCATTAAAGATAGGATCATCAATGCATTTAAAAGAAATGTGATGCTTACATGGGGAGAAGGGAGTGGAGTATAAATACTGTTATGGACTAACTGTGTAAATGGCCTGTTTCCGTGCTGTATCACTCTATGTAACTCTATAGTGGGCTCAAATTATTTTTGGCATTACACCTATCACGATCAACAATGTCATCCGCGAATGGGATTTCCCCCTATATAATCGTGCATCGCCAATGTCACCTTGAATCAATTTGGAAACTACAGCAAGATGAATGACTAAACTGGATGTAAAATAAGCATTGAGAACCATCGAAGATTTGCAACACAGAAGGAGGACGTTCAGCCCAATTGCTCGGTGCTAGGGCATGCAGGGAACTTCCCAAACATGAAGGGAAACATCTAACCTAGTTATCTCTATCGCCCTTGTTGCTGAGCCACCTAATATAGAGACTTGTTTCTTACCAAGACCCATCCTGTGCTTTCGTGCTTAGATGGGCCACCACGGACTTGAATGGCCACATTTACTCGGTCTCCAGGCAGTTCTTCCAGCAGCTTCACCCCCTTGGGAGACTCTGTGACCTGTCCACAATAGAATCATTGACTAAATACATCATAAGAGAGGTTTACATTTAACAAAAGACTCTTTGGCCTATTCGATCATATGTATATACATAAAAAGTGTTTTGACTGTATTTTACAGGCAAATAACAGCAGCTAATATGTACACAGCAATGACCCACAAACCACTGTGAAATCAATTACATTTTTTTTAATATTGGGGGGATTGCTGGTTAGGACACTGGGAGAAACTCCCTTCTCTTTTCAAGTAGTTTCACAGGATGAGTCTGAACAGATAGACGGGACCTCGGTTTAACATCTTATATCTACCTTAACATCTTCAGTACAGTGTTAAGTTTATTTCTTAAATGAGTCCAATATCTTAGTTGCTACCACTCTTCCGAAGCCCCTCTAGATGATCCCCACGCACTGACCCATTATCATATTTGAACATAAGATGAAAGCGTTGCTGTCCAAAGGGCAGGAATTCAGGGCTGTGAAAAGCAATTTACTGGGAGGAGTGCCTCTACTCCAAACAACGATCCGGTGGGAATGATCAGATTGATTGCAAGGGAACAGAAGTCTGGGTCAGTCTGTGCCACAGGAATGGGGTAGAAACACACGTTGGTTGAATGGCGTTGCTCTACACATGGTCTAAGCTGCTCGGTTGGCTTGGCTTGATTGACTGAAGTATATTCGACCACTGTATACTCTTAATTCCACTACTGTGCCCACTACAACACTGTGAGGAATAATAAATTGGCAGTGTTGAAAAATGGACGGGTAAAAGACTATCTGGTTCCCAGCATGTGACAATAGTCTATTCCAAAGAATTCTATTGAAATTAGCCAACGCTGAGACCTTAGGAATAGGAAAGTTGAAATCATTTTAAAAAATCAGAAGGTGAAATTGTATGACAGATATGACACTACAACTACGCACTACCTTAATGAAAGGTAGTGCCAATGTAAGTAGATTTATGTCTCAATCTGTATCGTTCTATATTTTTTTGTTTATAGCTCCTGTATGGTGACTGAGTTCTGAGTTTCTTAGAAAACACAGGGCATAAAGAAAGAACGAGATTAGAAAGATGTTAAGATTATCTTAACAATGTAATATCTATTGCAACATTTATATTTATACCATGTGGGATAATACGAGCCCCCATTGCCATAAATGATGATTTTCAAACTAACATTTGGAATGAAATCTTAAATGATTTAATCTTTAAATTTTAATACTGATTACATTTTGTCAGGAAGAAAATATTGGCATTGTGTTTGTTCACAAGCCATAAAAACTAGCTGATTCTGCTGTTATTTAACAATCCTAATTAATATATAACTAGGGTCAGAGCGGATTCTAGTGTTTTATCTGCATGAAAAGCAGAGCCGTTTTCTGCTGCCATAATAATATAACAAGCTCTATCAAGTTCTCTAACACATGAGTGGCATTTGTTCCAGGAGGTTACTTCTAGGATAACATCCAGGAGAACAATATTACAAGTTACAGCTTCAGCACGAACTGTGTGTCATGTTATTCAGGCGGATGCGGGATCAGCCAGGGAGAATTCCTTTGCTGCTGTCATTCAACCACAAAACATGCAGACACTCCACTTTATAGTATATCTTGCGAAGCTCTTTGGGATGTCCTTCCAACATACAACAACAACAACAACAAGATTCCATTTATAAAGCGCCTTTCACGTCAGGAGGACGTCCCAAGGCGCTGCACAGTTGGGTCATGACCCGAGCAGGGGGGAAATGGTCAGGGTGAGGGGAGGGAAGGGAGGGAGCGAGGAGGGGGGAAATGGTCAGGGTGAGGGAAGGGAGGGACTATGCCAAAAAAGGGACTATGCCAAATCTGAGGATTAGAAATACTATCATGATTTCTGGTGCTGTTCCTCAGATAGCCAGTCGGTTCCAAAAGTGCCTCAGAGAAATTGTTTTATGAAGGTATCAGCAGAGGCTTTGGTTACCATGTGAGCAGAAGCCCTGTAGAATCCATGGTAATGTAAGTGATTTGTCACAAAAAAGAGTGATTTTTCAGTGTGATAAATTGGCTACTCACTTCATGGCTATTTGTGGGACATTGCTGTGCGCAACCTGGCTGCCACATTTTGCTCACAAATACATAATATTATAAATAATCCTTGCATTTCGTAAAGAACCTTATCACGTCATTGAGAAGTTTCAAAGCACTTCACAGAATATACTGTAATTGCAGTCACTGTGTATTTTGTGGGTGAAACATGGCAGACAGTTGCACACAGCAGTGTCCCACAAAGAGCTATGGAGCGAGCGACAAATTCTTTATTTGGGGGATTGTTGGCTAGGACACCATGCAAAACTCCCTTCTGTTTTCAAATAGTGCGTGGGATCTTTAACACCCGCCTAAACAGGCAAATGGGATCTCAATTTAACAAGGTTAAACTGAAGGAGTCGGAACTGTTTTGACTGCTTTGACTTCACAGGCCAATTTATAAATACAGTCAATCCAATTTGTAACATATCCTCTGTAGGCTTTAAGACTTTTCAACAACATGATAAGGTGCTCTATCAAATCAAGGATTATTATTATTATTACCCCACCCTATCTCTTTGATTTCCTGTGGTCCTACTCCCCTGCAAATTTCCTTCACCAACACAGCCCTGCTGCATGTTTTCTGCTTCCTCTACACCACCATCGATGGGCAAGCTCTCAGCCAAATTGGCCCCCAACTCTCTCCTTGAATCCCTTCACCTCATATCTTCCCTCTCTGCTTTCAAACCCCACCTAAATAGCTATCCTTTTGAATGCACCTTTGGACACCACTTCCATTGGACATTTCCTACCAGCACGGCTCCCACTCTAACTCTGTAATAATAATAATAATAATCCTTGCATTTGATATAGTGCCTTATCACTGTGAAGTGTGTTAGGTCGCTCCTACATATAAGGTACTTTCTTTATCCAATACAAATACACAATTTCATTTGTATAGCGCCTTTCACGTCGGGAGGACATCCCAAGGCGCTGTATAAGTGCAAGTTGTTGTTCACTAAAAACAGGAATCTTTTTGCCATGTTTCTATAGCAGGATTCCCCATTCTAAAGGTGTAGCAGCAAGATTGTTATTGTAGTTATCTATCATATAGGCAGCCTACTAATCTCAGAACGTCACTCAGGGCCATGTGATTTATGGTCACCTTCAACTAGGGTAAGAGAAATAATGGCCATGTTAAGAACAGGATTGTAACAGCTTTATGTGCAATTAAATATCAAAATTCTTTCCAAGTGACAGTTTTCCCATCTCAGAAGGTCACTGAGTTCCAGAGAAACACAACATTTTGGGGACATGGCAACGTACAAAAAATCGGAAATTCAAGAAACAATAATGTCAGTTTGTCACCTCACTTCAGACTCACTTGCTTATTTCAAGAGGGATAGTGCCTGTAGCATTACTTTGTGAAGCTTACCTTGAGAGGCATCTGGGAGGTGGTGGTGTGGGGGGGGGGGGGGGGGGAGGAATATTATAGACTGATTTTGTTAGCCGATCTCTGGATGAAATAAAGCCTTGCAGCTGGACTGTAAAGCACTAGAGGGTGCTAATGAAACAAGATACTGTTATTATTTTATAGTTATAAATTCTGTAAGTATTGAATATGAATGACTTAGATGTCCCAGAAATGAACAAATCCCTCCTCCCACACACACACAAGTTGGGTCACACATTCAACTTCCGTTTCACAGCATTTGATTGGACTTTACAATCAAAATACCAAAAAAGCTCTCACTTTTGCTGACTACCATTCAAAAGCCTCTGAGTTAAAATCTGTAACCTGCTTTTAGTTTCCAGTGTTGTTTACACCAAGACATGGTGTTGTGGAGGGAAAGGGTGTGGGGGGTGCGATTCTTTTCATTCAGCTCTTTTTAACCCTGCAAACCAAAGCCCTGTTGGGCAGGGAGGTCCTAGCTGAACAAGCAACAGGAAAATTGTATCTTGGAAATTATAAATTAGAGATCAGAGATGCAGCATCGTCAACAAGTGCTGTTTTTTTTAATTAAGAATAAAACTTGTGAAAATGTAATTACAATTTTAAGAGAACACTTTCCTGCAGCTTTTCCTGTTAAGTTATTCACTGGTGACTGTGATGAAACGTACCACACATTGCTGAAGTGTTAACTGAATGTTCATCTTACCTTCCTCCAAGTAATAATGGGAGTCGGAACTGCTTTGACCTCACAGGCCAAGTAGACTTGGGAACCAGTCACGTTTTGGATTGGCTTTGGTGGGATGACGATAACAGGAGCTGTCAAAGAGAACATTTGATTTGAGACATTCTTAAATTCTAATATAAGAAAAATGTAAGAACCTCCATCAGCGATTGTTTACTGTCAAGTTAGATCCATCTGTCTTTAATGCTTAGTAGCAGACGTGAACTGAATTTAATCTGTAGAAATGCTCAATTTTGTTTTTGTACATTCTTATCTTGTATATAAGGCTCTCCCTCTGATCAAAGCACTTGACTTTTAATGTAATTATTACAGTAGAGCATGCTCATCACTTTTTAAGAGGCTCAACAGAAGTTTGCATTGAGAATGAAGATTTGTTATGTGATGTACATTTTAAGTAGGTTTCAAGGAAACTGCTGCCTTTACAGATAAAAGGCATCTTCAGTGTCCATCACAGAATCCGTCGCTTCACATGCTCATAGGACACAGCGTACTATGGTTTTGCATCATTATTTGGGCTCGAAGTGCTCCAAGGCACTACCCCAGATGAAGGACGCTGCATAAATGCAAGTTGTTGTGGGAAAATTCCTAAGATTTTGACTGTATTTGAAATGCCACTCACGTTATATCTGCATGCTGTGTAGCAGCACACAAGATAGTTAGATGTTATCCTCACAACTCATAGTTAAATCACTATTAGTATAAGACAATAATCGTTACATTTGATTTAGTGCCTTTCACGTCGGGAGTCAAAACCGAACTACAATCCGGTCTAGTCACCTGCCTCTTCAGATAGATGTTAAAGAACTCATGGCACTATTCAACAAGTCAGTTTCTCCCAATGTCCTGGCCAATTCTCCAAATAGATTAAGATATTCACTTCATGGTTGCCATGGTTAATTCCTGGCATGTCAGCCTACAAATACACATGCACTACACTTGACAGCAATTATCCATGAATTGCTTTAATATATCTGGATGTTTTAGTCACTTTATTATATAATTGGAAGTAAAGGCCATTTTTCTCTAAGTACTAGTTCTGAATAGTCCTCCGATACAGATGTATTGTTGGTACTGTCATGCTACATATATATATATATATATATATATATAGGAGGTATCACTTGTGTTCACATGTGCTCTCCAGATAAAGATTGTTTCCTCTCAAGCTCTTTGTTCTGAATCCTATTTCCTCTATCTATTTTCACTGAAGCAGGCTTGGTGCAATGTCTCTAGCCCTCTCCTCAGTCCTGAATACTACTGCCAATTCTGATGATGTTGAACAGATTTGTACTTGTTAAAATAATAACAATAATCATAATAATAATTCTTACATTATACATGGTGTCTTTCTCAATGCACTTCACAAGACAGCGAATTGCAGACTTAAGCAGCAGCCAATTTGTACACAGCAATATCCCACAAACAGCTACGAAGTGAGTGACAACAACAAGTTGCATTGATATAGCACCCTCATGCAAGGTAGCATCCCAGGGTGCTTATCTATATTATCTATAAAGCATGTTTTTTCATGCTAAATTCTTCTATTGACCAACTTTAGCTGGGGGATTTTTGACTAGGATACCAGGAGAAACTCCCTTTTCTTTGGATATTGCCAAGGGATCTTTACCATCCACCAGACGAGACCTGGGTTTAACGTCTCATCTAAAGGATGTCCAAACAACGTTGAAAAATTGGTTGTTCATTTCATAGCTTGCTTATGCTGTGAGACATTGCTGTGCACAAATAGACTGCCCCGTTCACCTACAAACATGGTACACTTTACAGGATCCTGTGAAGTGCTTTGAGATGTCCTCCTGACCTGAAAATATTATACCAAATACAAGGATTATTATTGTTGTTGTTAAATTCTTTGCAGGGTTTTGAAGATGGGAAGGAGGGTGTGAGAGAATAATTTTGGGCGGTTCCAGAGACTGGAAGAGTGGCAGCAAAGTGGTTGAAAGCACATGTGGTGGGGCTGAGGGAGTGGGAACATGCAGCAGACTCAAGTTAGCAGAGCGAAGGCAGTGGGCAGGAGAGTGCAGGGGAGGAGATTGTGAAAGCAGAATGACTTGGAGAGATTTGAAGGTCAGAAGGAGGATCTTGAAGTCGATCAACCAGGGATAAGATAAGGTCATTGGGCTGGCAGAGCCAAGTGTGAGAAAGGATACTGGCTGTGAATTTTAACAAAGGATCTACCGGAGACGTTACTATAGCAAGAAAGATTCTTAAGCTAGAATATATCTTAAAACAAAAGCTGTGGATATACTCTAATCACAAGAATGTAGAATTTGCACTGTTAATATTATAGTCTCTTTGCAAACAGTTAAGACCTCAAACTGAATCATTGCAGCAGAGAGGGGAAAGCTGAGATAAAATATAGCGTCTAACACAGAAAAGAACAGTAATTTGTTTGGATCCCTGTGCTAAAGTGGGTGATGAGAAAGGCCCTTGTAGCATTGCCTTCTTTAGCACATAACACTGGAGTGAAACCACTTTACAGTGACCTGCTTATTTTTTCAGGCTGAATGGAGAGCAAGAGATAAGGTTCAGGTGAAATTGCTGCAAATGCGACTGTCGCTCCTGAAAGTGGGAAAGAATATACTTTGTGGAAAGATTTTTTGTGCAAAATCTTTCAAATCTGATATGTATAATGCAGAAATTTAATTGAAGCTTGGGGGTTATTTTTAAGAGCTGTACTATTAGCATAGCAGGTTGTGAAGATGTAACACATGTTAGAATTTACACTTTTTGTATAATGTTAGAATCATAATAGATGTTGCGAACGGGTTAACTTTTAAGTTAAATGTGGGGGGGGGGGGCAACTGGACTGAAACTCATGAGTTTCCAAGGATCACCCGAGTGTCTCAAGGACAAGATGTGTGCTACTGCCCTGCAAGTACACAAGATAACGGACTGTCTCAAGGACAGTGTGTTTGTGTGCGTGAGGCACGTACACTCCATGAGATGTTCACTTGAACCCAGCATGATTTTGGCCAGGTGACCTAATGTCCGCACCATGATTTGATGGACACAAGCTTAAGACACCGTGCCAGACCAAGATCGGGGCACGCCCAGGACAGTACCTACCGTGGATGGAAGACTGAGAGCTAGAAGGCAGAAGTAGACGACCACAAGGAGGGATTACGCGGTAATATTGTTCTGTTAGTGAATTGATTGATTGTGCTTACTTGCCCACGCCCATCGGGGACTTGGACGGATCCTGCAGTTTAATAAACACCACTCTGGTTGCAAACAGTGGCTGTGTTTGATTGGAACTCGAAAAGGTTTTTCCTTAACACACATAAAAGGTGGTAATTATCATGTTATATGTCATGGCTGCAATACAGCCAAAATCCTTATTCACACCTTCCACTTCTAGACTTGATTTCCGAAACACTGGTGTCAGCGAGCTCCACAGCTAATGTTCCAGCTCATCCAGAAATCTGCAGCTCAGTTGGAAGCAGTTGGTGACACAGGAGTTGTAGGTACAAGCTTCACATCTATGCTGGCACTCCAGCACAATGCTAAGCTGTGCTGTACACTGAGGGCATCATCTTTTGGATGAGATGTTAAAATGAAGTCTGCTGAGCTTGTTTGTCATTTTGTTAGATCATGGCATTTCTTTTAATCCAATTTCCCTACCTTTCCTTAATTCTCCACATCCCTCAATGTATTTCCTGCCCAAGTTTCTATTTATCTCACATTTAAACATTTCAATCAATTCTGAAAATGAATTCTCTCAATCAAATTCTTGGCCACAACTTAATGCTGTACGATTAAACATGCATGTGGTCTATCAATTTTCCTGAATGTGGGGCACTATGGCCCTGCTCCTCCCTACCTCTGTGACCTGCCAACCCCATATAGACCTGTCTGTTCCCTCCGCTCAGCAGGCTTCGGCATGCTCCACATCCCCGCCCATCTGCCCCAAGATTGGTGGGTGGGCCTTTAGCCTCTCTGCCCCCACCCTTTGGAACTCCAACCCACAGTCCTTTGCCTCCTTCTCAAGACTCTCCTCTTCGATCGTGCCTTCGGTCACCCTCGTACCGCTACCTTCCCCACCCTTCACCTCTCCAGATCCCAACTCTGACCTTGGGTCAAAATCTTTATCCAGCATCTCAATATGTCCTCCCAACATGAAAATGTAATTTGTTGTATGCAATCTGTTCAGTTTGGCAATGTATTTCAAGAATCCTGCATCTTCAGGATCTGCATGTTGGCACCTCAAGACTTTCCTCTTCAAAGATGCCTATAATCACCTCCCATTCAGCACTCTGAGATGTAGGAGTAAAAGTAGTAAATGTAGTAAAGTAGCAATGACAGAGGCCAATTCTAAGCTAATGTGCAATTGCTGGCATGAATCAGGAGCATATCTCTGCTGAAATAGTTGAAATGCTATTGTTTCAATGCCTAATAGATGGTGGTTTGCTGCTAAAAGGATAAAACCTCATTCATCTAGATTTTTTTGATCTTCTCTTTTGATTGCAAGGCGTTCTGCTGCTGAATAACATCCTTTCCTTCCTGTAGATTAATGTGGCTAAAGGAGCCCGTGTGTACCAGAAGTATTTAATCTTAGTTAACTTGTGATTTACAGCAAACTGTGCATTATATTGGGTTTGATGGTAAAAAATGCACCTTGGCTCCTTCAGTCAGATCCAACCTGTAAAGCTCAACAACTACCAATAGGAGTGGTCTTGGGCAGCAGCCTTTGTAGTGAGAGCGGCTGCTGCTTAAGTGGAGTGTTCTGTGCAGATCATGGTGCTCTACTTTACATAATGTAAAAGCCATTCAGTGAAAATGAAGTTCCGCAGCGATGGTGATTCACTGAATCCCCGAAATTACACTGCAGAAATAGGACATTCAGCCACCGAGCCACACTCCTTCATTGGAGCTCAGTACCCTAAGTTCAATTCCTGTTCTGTACCCTTTTATTTATTTTTCTCTTCAAATACTTATAATAATAATAATAATAATCCTTGCATTTGATATAGCACTTTTCACGTCGGGAGGACGTCCCAAAGTGCTTCACAGAACACACTGTAAAGTGAATTGACTGTATATATTTGTGGGCGAA